AGTCGAGGGTTTGAATTGGAGTCATATAAGCTACAAGGTTAAGAAAATGTCAAGCTCACTATATTTTTGGCTTGCCTCCAATTCTTAGCTAGAACTGAGGGAAACAGTTTCTCTTTCTTTAAAGGAATATGGTGTTTTCCTCTCTCCATGCAATTATATATATATATATTCAATATTTTATATATTATATAATGCAACATTATATATTTATATAAAATATTTTATATTATAATATATAGCAAGTTTGTGTACATATTAACTTGGCTAATGAACTAAAACAGTTTTCACTGGTTATATGCACAACCACACACATATATATGTATATTATATATGTTTGCATGTATATGTACACTAAATAACCACTTAAAAAGCATAAGCATAAAATTAAATGAGGAAATTGAAATTTTCAGTGCTGGTTGAAGTGTATGGGAAGGGTCAATGGAAAACAGGAAATGAAAGAACTGACTAGCAAACCAGGAAATTTGGCTTCTCCCTGAAGAAATACGGGTCAGCAATATAGTTCCAGATGTTCTATAGCTTACAATCTGAACATTTTGTTTGCAGACACTATTTGGGTCCTCCAACAGCTTCACATAATAATTACCCTTAAGTTACCCATTCTTCTTTTCTCCTTTTTCTCAGAAATCCATCCAAGTCAAGGATAAGATCACAAGAATATGGGACCAAATGATGAATCGAGAGCCTTCGGTCATCTATACTCTTTTGAGGGGCCTTCCCACGGTGCCAAAGTGTGAATTTTCAGCTTCATGAGAAGTGATGCAGTCCACATATCCCCTCACATATACACACATACACCTAATAAGAATAACAAATCCTCTACACACACACAATAGCAAAAATAATTTTTAAAGCTGTGTTGGGGCAAGAGAAAAATTAAAGAATAGGACTGTTTCCTGCAGGGTAGATAAGATGATAATGATGATTTTTTTTGTTTGAAAGCAAAACTATTCAACTTTTAACTGGGTTCTGTTTATTTCTGTCAAACACTCTTCAGACTGGGAAGGTAGATTAAAAATGATTAACAGAAAGCTGGGACATAGAACAAATGAGGAACTGGTAAAAATGCAACAAGATAATGAGTTCAAGTCATCCAGCCCATATGAACAACAACCCAGAACACTAAACAAATTGGTAGAAGTTATTTCTGAAGAACCACCAATGATCAGTGCCCTTGGAAAGATTACAGAGAACAATAGAAATGCTATAGGATTAGAGAAGGACAAAACTCTGGATTAAAAAGAAAAAAAGGAAAGAGTAGACTCTGAAAACTATAGGTCAGTGAGCATAACTTTACTTCCTGAACAACAAAAATAACTCAACAGGTCTCAAAAAGATCTTCCCCTTACTTCTAATCCCCTTGTGATCTAGCTTCCATTCATTCCTCTCAACTGAAGTTGCTTTTTTTCTTCCAGAAATGATCACTTTCTTGCCAAATTCAAGGGCCATTTTTTAGTTCACATCCGTCTAGATTTCTCTACAGTGTTTCACACTGATATCTTTATGTTTGCTCCCTTTCCCTATCTTTATGTAAAAATACTGTCATGAAACTCTTCCTGTCTGATCCTTCTCAGTCTCCTTTGCAGCATCATTTTCCAAATCCCTCCACCAAGGCTGTATCCTGGACTCCTGGACACAACATTCTATCTCCCACCTCCATATCTTTGCATACTCTAAGCTTTTCCTCATACCTACAATACTTCCTCTGTCTCTTGGAAACCTTGGCTTCTTCAAGGCCACATTTTTAAATGTGTTTTATCCCCTGAGGTAGAAAGTAACTTCTTGAAGGCAGAGTCTGATTCATTTTTGTCTTTGTATCTCTGGTAAGTAGCATGGCATTAGGCACAGACTAGAATTTTGTTAAATGATTTTGATAACAGGAGAAAACAATGGGCCAAACAAAATAATATGACATTGAATTCAAAATATTAACTTCACAACTACAGTATGGAAGAAATATGGCTAGATCCAATTGAAAAAGAACATAGAATTAAAAGATGTCAGAAGTGAAAAGGACTTCCTTGGCCATCTAGTTAGTTCACCCAATACCAGAGAAAGAATCCTCTCTACATCATTCACAATAATTAATTATTCAGCTTTTTGCTTGAAAACCTCCAAGTGGGAGGAAAAAATCTCACTACTTCCTGAGGCAGCCAAGGAGAATTATCTGGAGATTTCAATGGAATGTAAATACCTTATGAGTCAAAGATATGACATGGCAGTCAAAACAGCTAATGTGATCTTCATTAAGAAAGGAAAAGTGTTCAAAATGAGGGACATAAATTTTGCTGTATTCTAGCCTGGTCAACCCACATCCAGAATTTTGGATTAAGTTCTAGGAGCTAAGTTTTTAAAAGGACATTTACAAGTTGGAGAATGTCCAGATAAAGGCAACCAATTTGGTAAAAAAGGATCTGAGAGTAGAAAGATAAGTTACAGGAACGGAGGATGTTCAGTTAGAAGAGAAATCCTACAGAAGGCATGATGCCTCTTCAATTTGAAGGTCAGTCATATGGATGAGGAAATGGACTTTTGCTTGTCCCCATAAGAAAGACAGATAAGGAAATAGTCAGATTTAGGCTTGATGTAAGAAAAAGCTTCCTAACAAGTTTAATTGTCCAAAATTAAAATAGGCTGCCTCAGGAGGAAGTTGGATTCCTCTCCCTGGAGGAAACCAAGTGGAGACTGGATGACTACCTGTAACAGAGGTTATATGGGAATTGTCTGTTTAGACACAGTTTGAAGGGGCCTTTCAGGTCCCTTTTAACTCTGACATTCTTTAAGGGGAAAAACATCATATTCACAAATTCCCAATGAAACCAGGACATTAATTTAGAGCCTACTTCAAAGCCCTTAACACTTATTATAAATAAATTAATTAATGACATAAGGAAAATAAGAGTGCCCTTATAGCAGAACAAAAGTATAGGTAAGAAACTTATTACCTATTAAAAAAATACCACTGCCTTTCTACCATCTTCCCCTCTGACAGTAGATTTGTGTTTATAAACATAGATGGACAGAATTTACGTCAATTGCCAGAAGGTAATCATAACTACTCTCATTGCTGAAATTTTCTGCACCAATTTGATAATTGTAATTACGTCCCTTAAGTAGCTAGGTGGCATAGTGGATAAAGTGCCAGGCCTGGAGTCAAGAAGACTCATCTTTCTTAGTGCAAAACTGGCCTCAGACTCCATGCGAGTCAATGCTGTATGCTTCCATTTCCTCATCTATGAAATGAGCTGGAGAAGGAAATGGCAAACCTCTCCTGTATCTTTGCCAAGAAAGCCCCAAATGGGGTCACAAAGAGTTGGACATGACTGAAATGACTGAACAACAACAATTATGTTCCTTCTTTTAAACTAAAATAGATCCCAATTTCAATTTCTTTAATGAATTTTATGAGCAAGCTTGACAATATCAGGATGCCACACAGAGATCCCTTCCAGCCTGTACATTCTACACTTTTAAATTACACTCAGGGGGAAAATGGGATTCAGTAACTTCTCAGCATTTGTCATTGTTTAGATATGGATACACCCTCTATCGACACAGCTCACACCTCTTCTAAATTAGTAGATGTGTTCAAGAGTTCCTGTGGATGAAACCTATTCCCATCCCTCCCCCCATCACCTGCAACCCCGGGTCAGCCTAGTGATGAACCTCTCTGAACTTCTCTAGGCTTGTTCTTAGACAAAAGATTGGCAGGTCCATGAATCAAACAATCAATTAACAATAATTTATTAAGTTCTTTCTAAATGCCAGGCACTGTTCTAATCCCTAGGGATACAATGAAAGGCAAAACAACAAAAAACACTTCCTGCCCTCAAGGAGATCACTTACTAATGGAGGAGACAGCATGTAAATAGGTACATATAAGATACATACAGAGTAGATGGAAGTTGATATGGTAGGGGAAGAGAGGGAATATCAAATAAGCTTGTATTGCTTAATCATGGAGTACACAGAAGGAAGTAAAAATATGAGAACAGCAAAAAGGTAGGAAAGAGTCAAGTTGTGAAGAATTTTAAAGCCAAACAGATGATTTTATGTTTGATCCTAGAAGTTAACAGGGAATGACTGGGGTTAATTGAGTAGGGGAGAGGGTTACATGATCAGAGCTGTGCTTTAGGAAAATCATTTTGGCATCTGTGTGGAGAATGCATAGGAGTGAGGAGACATAAAGCAGGGAGACCAATTAGAAAACTGTTGGAACAGTCATGGCAAAAGGTGATGAAGGCCTGAACTAGTGTGGTGGCTGTGTGAATGGAGATACGTTCAAGTAGAAATGACAAGATTTGGCAACTGATTGGACTGGTCGAGTCAGTGAGAATAATAAGTTGAAGATGATTTTGAGGTTGCAAACCTAGGATACTAGGAGGGTGGTGATGTCCTCAACAGGGTAATAGGAAAACATGGAAGAGGGTATGGTTTTGGGGAAATGATAAGTGTTATTTTAGACATGTTGAGTTTGAGATGTCTATCAGACATCCAGTTTAAGATATCCAAAAGGCATAGATAGGAGACAGACTTGGGAAGAACACTACCTGCATCTGTAACTAAACCCATAGGAGCTGATGACATTGCCAAGGGATATAGAAAGAAAAGAGAAGTGAGTCCAGGACAGAGCCTTGGGAGACAGATACAGTCCATGAGATAAATAGTTTTTACATTCTAAAATAAAGTTTTATTGTATTTAAAAATGTAAAAATCATTCTTAGCTACAAGCTACAGGTATCAGACTGTATTTTGTCCACCCCTGGATAAAAACCCTCAATGATACTTGGGACATCTCTTTCTTCTTTGCTGCCCTCTACCCCTTTCACTTTTAACTCTCATTTGTACAGTCTCTCAGACCCCCAAAACAGCCTACTGACCTGAAGTTCACATTGGTTTTGGTTCAGAAAAGTATTTATAGGCCTTGGTTCAAAAAATTTGAGACATTAGAAGAAGCCCATGAAAAAATCTGGAATTCTCACCATTTGTAGAGGATGAGAAACAGTGCTGAACATTTCCTGAAGACTGAATGGTACAATTCTGCCAGAGATCAGTTGCATGCCCAGGTCCTACGATCCATTGCTAAAAAAACAAAAACAAAAACAAAAACTTGTATGAATAAAGATGATACTGAAGTACAAAAGAAAAGACAAAGAAATGCAAGAGAAAATCAGCCTGGCTGGAAAAAAAAATAATGACTACTGTTATGTTTCGGTGAGCAGACATTTTCTAGTAGAGTAGGGACAGTAGAGCAGTTATCAAATATAACCTATTCCTTCTTTGGAGGACAAAATATTATCCTATCTTTTAGTTCTTCCTCCTCTGCCCCCCACCCCCAAGAAAACTGGAAAGCTAGGTTCCTGCACAGATTCCTGGGAAAGGAAAAAGGACTAGAAGGAATTAATAATATGATTGCTTGGTCATACTTGCAGTTATAGAATTAATGATAAGCAAAATGTTTAGGGATTTGCCTTGCTCAGATTTTTCTGCATAGTTAAAAATTTAAAAAATCTAATGTGTTTAATTCCTAAGAATCAAAGTTGCTGTGTTTCTTATTAATAGAAACTTCTTTAAAAGGTTTTATCTTTGTTTAATATAAGTCAAACTTGGTGACCCCTGAACTTAGCCTAGCAAAGCTAATTTTAATTTTCCTTTTAAGTCTAAATCAAAATCCTGAAAGATGATTTGGAAACTAGCATTTTCACCTGTAAATTAAGAGTAGTAATATTTGTACTAACTAGCTCACAGAATTGTGCAAAAAGTATTTTATAATTCTTAAGTGAGCAGCTATGCCATTAAATAGATCTGCTAATAATCTCTGGTATTTGAAAAATATCAAAATAGGCTTTCACAAATGCCTCATTTCCTTCCTTCCATATAAAATACCTTCCTTCCAGATCTGTGCTGAATTTAAGTCTGAAAAGTGGCACCAAACTTTTACTGAAGATTTTTATACACAGTTGAAATTGCTCATTTATTCTCTACGACTGAAAGGAGGCAGGGAGCCAGGACCGGTAAAATATTCTAGGATTTTTCATTTCAAAAATATGTTCAAATGACAACTTAGCACTTACCAGGAAGGAGAATATTGGCAAGAAAGAGCTAGGTTTAAATAGTGGAATAATAGAGGGGATTATCTTTCTTCCTGGTGTCCCCAAATTCTGACAGGAAGTGTCTGTCAAGTCTGAGCCCTGTCTTATAGAGGTGGGGGTTGGGGAGCCAGTACTCACACTGACAATAGTGGAGATGAAAAGGAGTACCAGCACTGCTACGTGGAGCACGATGATTCCCAGGAGCAACAGCAGCATTTTGGCGAAAAGAATCTGCGTCTGATCTGCAACGGGAGAGAAATCAAGGATACAGTTGAAAGGACTCCCCAACTGGCCGTTCCACAGAAGGCTTGGTTAGGAGGGCCTGTGTGCCTGCTGTATTTGTGTCTCAGATTGAGTTGGAATCTCGCTGAAACTGGGCGGGTCGACCAATGGGCTGGACTGACCTCATCCTGGAGGGGGCAGCAACAGGCTGCCAGGAGAGAGCACTTTTCTCTCTTGGCCTGGGGCCCCATACTGAAAACACTGCTTTCTTCCCCCCCCCCCCCCCCCCCCCCCCCCCCCTTTTTTCTTAAAACAAAACACTTGGTTAGAGAAACAAGCAAATCTGGAAGGCAAGGAGAGTAAAGACATTTCTAATATGAGAAACAGCCACTCACGCCCCAAATGTGTTCTTCAGACTTCAGACACCACCCAAATCTGAGCCCTTATCCTTAGAGGCCCGAGAGAAAGTTCTGGAAGAAGCTTGTAGGCTTTGAGACCCTGCAGACTACCTTCCTGGATAGTTCCACAAGTAACAAGGATCTTTTCTGCATAAGGGATGTAAAAGGAGGGGGGAAAAAGCTAGGGTCCTGCATAGATTCCTGGAGAGGAAAAATGAGCTAGAAGGAATTAATTCCTTAAAATGTGTCAAGCACATGACAAAAAGAAAAAAACTCCAGCTCTTCCATTCTCCTCTCTCTCCCCACTTAACGTGAAATTTCTAGTTTTGAACAGAAAGAAGTAATGTTAAAAACCCATTAAATGTCTAAGTTTCCAAGCAGGGATTTTGAGGGAAGGGAAGGAATCCATGCAAACTCTGCCTTGCAACCCAGAAAAGAGCTCTTTGAAGCTCTTGGATATCTGTGCATTCTTCCACGAATTAAACATTATACACAGCGGGTTTGGGGAGGAAAGGATAATATTTAGGGAGTCCTCCTGCTTCTTAGTTTATACGGCTCTTTAGTGGGTTGAAACTGGTTACTTTTCATATCCTCGGTTTCTACAACACACTTTCCCTTTTTGTCTCTATGGCCTGGGTGTTCACCAATTTTTCCAGACCAGTCCTGGCTCATCCTCTAAGTTGCACTGTTTATTTCCATTGCTTGCAACGGAGTGCTCTAATCTAGCCTCTTGCCAATTGCAAGCCAAACCCAGGGTGTGAGCAGGGCAAAATGGCTCTCTAGATCCTCAGACTTGTGGGATCTAGGATGCGGCAGTGCTAAGGTTGGAGTAGGAGAGAAATCTGGTGGGCTTTTATTTTGGGAGGGGAAAGAAATAAATGATGAATTAGGCCTGGAAGAGGATGACCTTAGGTCTCTAAAAATTTTAATGTCTTTAGAAACCTAATCCCGAGGGAACCGCACATTTCAATGGAATTCCTAAAAAAAAGAAAAAAGAAAAGAAAACAACTCTCCCTTTCATATACCACGTTCCTAACCTCCTGCTTTCCTCAAGAAAATCCCAGAGTAGAAGAGGGAGAAAATTCAACAAAACCTTTAATGTTGTTGGTTAATTTTATCTGACTAGCACCAAAAGAGCTGGGGAAAGGATTCCGAGAACAGGTAAGCAGAACTAGTGTAAGGCAGATGACTCAGTAGGAATTAAGGGAGATACAAGGTAATGATCATTCTTCCTTGTCTTGCGGTTTTCCTTAACAGGAATCTATTATCCCGAGAAATAAATGTTGTCCTCCCACCCCTTCATACCTTCATCCCATCCTGAGACCCTTTCTACAGGAAAGAATTAGCAGAAAGGCAGGGCAAGTTTACAATCACAATCTCGCCTTCCCCAAGGTTTACCGGACCATCAACCATAATGGGCTGAAAGACATCTGGAGGGTCCGGCCAGGCCGCCAATTCTGGAGTTTCGGCATCATTTGTCCTGGGACCCACCCCAGGTTATTCAGATAAGTTCCATCTGCCTCAGTCTCCTACAAATTCCACTTCAAAACGAACTTACTGTCTACAAGATTAGTTGTCCCTGCTCCAGGAAGTAGTCCAAATGCAAAGTTGACCCAGGAAATAAAGTCCCCCGGCGATAGCCTAATTTTCTGTTCTAATCCCCAAAGGCAACTGTCTGGAACGGGATGCAAACGAAGTGAGATGCAAGTAGGAGGCTCTGAGAGTTCGCTTTTAACAGGAACAACGCCCTAATTGTTTTTGGACTAGGGTGTGTCCCTGTGTCAGTTTGTGGAGGGATGGAGGAAGGGAAGAAGACTGTTAATCGGTTATAAATCATTTCAGGGAAAACGATGATCAATGGAAAGGCAGCTCTGGGACTTACACTGACAGACACTCACATGCGTTCACTCCTCAAATGGGAATTTCTCACCTCACACCTCCCCTCTCCCCGCCCTACCTGGCAGTCAGCATGGAAACCAAATGTTGACAAATAAATCCTGTAGCGATCCAAAATACCCTCCCCCAAGAGCCACTCCTTCCAGACCCAGTGCTTACAGCTTCATGAAATACACTGGAAAGACAGACAAATGCTACCGCATTTGTCTAGTTTTGGTTCCAATGTTACACCTGTCGGGAAAGAGTTGGGGGCGGATGGGGAGGACGCCCAGAGAAATTGGGTGGGTGGGGCTCTGTGAAGCTGGAGAGGTCCAGCTGCTTGAGGGTGGGATGCCCCTTCCTGTCAGTGAGGAAGCAGCTTCAAAGTGAAATGCCGCAGGCTGTGCCCTCAATCCCAGCAACCAACTCAAGGCGATCTTTGCCCCCTCCTCTGTATCTCGGTGCTCCTTCCACTTCTCTCCTTTCTGGCTCTTATGGAGGAAAAATGCAATGCCAGCACCACAAGAAGTACTAAGCCTCTTGGTCTAGAATCTGGCTGCATGAGTCTGGGGTTTCTTCGGGTAATAGACGGGCAGCGTCTATCAATACATATGGCACCACGGTCCATAAATATGACATCTGCTTGGTCTAAAGTTATGAACCTGGGGAGAATGGTATGGGTAAAAATAGATCCAGCTGTTTCCTAGCTGCTGCTGTTGGTATTATTGTTGTTGTTTTATCTGGGCTAGGAGAAAGGAGTAGCAGCAATTTCTCTCTGACTTTGCTTGTCCCAGGACTTTGGTTCACCTTAGGCCACAGGTCCCTGCTGCTGAACTACTGAGAGAACTTCTTCCCCATCCTGTAAACCAAGGGAACTGTCAGCCTGTGGTGAGAAGGTGATTGAGTTGTGGACATAACCTGTTCTGACCTGTCAAGCCCAGACTGGTTAGTTGATCCATAGATACTTCAACTCAAAGGGTCAGCAGGGTTAAAATAAAGGTTAGAGCAAAACAAACAAACAAACAAACTTCATAGTACCAAATTGTGCAAGGCAGGGAATCAAAGGCAGTGTAGTGTTTGAAAAGAGAACTGGACTTGGAATCTGAAGACCTTCCTTGTGATCTTGCCTCTGCTACTTGGACTTTAAAGTGACTTTGAAAAAGTCACAACTCGATGAGCCTCAGTTTCCACATCAAAGCTATTGTGAAGAAAGCATTTTGACCTGTACACATAGGAGTTATTAACTATATTGTTGGAAGGAAAGTGCTTTTGAAAACTACAAAGCATGCCAGATAAATGTGAACTATTATTGTGGGGGGGGGGTGAAGATAAAAACAGATTCATTTCTTTTTTTTTGACCTCTGCTTTTCTATCTCTCTGTCTTTGGTCTCTTTCTCTGATGTTGTAAAATATGTTGTAAATCCATATTAACACAAATTATTAAAAATGTTTGTAATTCAAAATAGCTTTGTAATTCATAATAGCTCTAGTCCCCAACTGGATGATTTCTTCATTTTTAAAGTAAATTTTTATTGATATATTTTGTTTATACATCACCTAAATTTTCCCCGGTATCCTTCCTATTCTCTTATCACTGAGATCTGTTCCACTTAAAGAATTTTTCATTATTCTTTAATTTAAAATCATCTATCATCAAAATTCTTTTAATTCAGTCTTTGTTTAAAGTTATCTTTCTTTCTTGGACTAAATGTCTTACTGCATGTAAATATTATACACAGGCTTATATATTGAAAAATTATAATTTACATATGTTGTAGTATAGGTTTATTGGTTAGAAAAGTAAAATAATTTTTTTCAAGCAATAATTTTGCAAATGAAAATTTCCATTTCTCTGTTACGTCATTGACTTCTGCAATTCTGAATAGTAAATCAGTCAATAAGCATTTATTAAATACTTACTATGAACAAGGTACTATACTAAGCACTGGGGAAAGAAAGGCAAAAAATGATCCCTGACCTTAAGGAGTTCATATTCTAATGGGGGAGATAACTCGCAAACAACTCTGCACATACAAAATACAGAGTAGACGGAATAGAATCTACTATTTTTCCTTAACTTTTTGAGGGGAGAAATTAAATCATTAGACATTCAGGATCTAGTATATGAATATTAACGTAGCCTGGGACTGCTTCAGCTGAAGTGTTATGTGCATTTGTCTCTTATTGTTTCCTGCTCTTTTCTTTCCTTAGTTTTTAATTGTTGAACTCAATTATCCTCAGTGTTTGCTGATGAGTAACAGAGACCCTGAAATCCTTCACAAAGGCATTTTTTCTTATAGTTTAATGTTTTCTCTCAGCCTTTTTCACAAATCAAAACTCATACATTAGCCTGATGGTTGATTGAAAATATTTCTAATAAAGATTTAAAACTCTCCAATCTGTGCCTAGGATCCGAATAGTTTTGAATTTTGATTTTGTTCAGTTGATCCATTGATTAGCTTGTTTTTAAAAATAGAAGTCTCAGATTCATTTCCTAACCTAAACAATTAGGACTACTCCAAGAGTCTAATTCTTTTTTTTTCACATACTCAACAATTCCCCAAAATAATAGAATATATTGAATATATATGTGTGTGCTTGTCAACAAAACTTACCAAACTAAAGCAGTACAATCCTTTCCTCAAAGTCTATTTCCTTTAAGTCCAAAAAGTGGTAAGAATTTCCAGCTGACAACAGTAGTAACAAATATCCCAAGGTTGGTAGATCCCTCTTCAAAGTCCCTCTTGGAAAAGGGTTCCTTTGGTGATTCCTTCTTGTTGCTAGAACCCCCAGATCTTATGATTTCCCAGTTTATTCAGCCTCTGGTCCAATGCTGGGGTATGTATTTAATACTGAATTAATAGGGAGTGATTTGGGTGGCATAATTGCAATTTCAATAATACACTAAAAATATGATAGCCAGACAATCTAGATAAAACATTTTATGAAAGCTGTCAGCCTGGGTAATAGCAAAAAGGATTTAAGTACATGATATACCTGGGTAGTGAAAATATATATATATATAATTCACTATAAAATGTACTATAAAAACTATAAGGTTATGGTAGAATGATATATGTTCTTATGATTAAGAGAGGCAATTTGACATAATGGATAGAATGAGCATGGAGTCAGAAAGACCTGGGTTCTAATACTGTCTTGAGGCTTTTTAGCTGTGTGATTGAACTTAATTTCTATCTTCATCAAGAAACTCTCTGGGATTTCTCTATTAATCCACATATCAATATGACTTTGGGCAAGTAACAACCTTATTAGATTTCATTTTCCTAATCTGCAAAATGAAAGAGTTGGATTATATGTCTTCTGAGTCCCTTTAAACTCTAGATCTGTGATTCTATAATCCTGAGATAAGATTATGTTCTGCATTGGTGGAGGGAGTTCCCATACCCAATATCCAAGCTGAACAAAGTTTATTAAATATTTGTGTAATGTGTTACATAAACACTCTTCATTTATTGAACTCAAACACTTTACATACAGCATTCCATACTATTGTTTGAGGTGGGTAGAGGCGGGATTATTAAAGACATTGTAAGAAAAAATCTCCAGGGCCAGATGGATTTACAAGTGAATTCTATCAAACATTTAAAGAACAATTAATGCCAATAGCATATAAACTATTTTGGAAAATTCTTTTTATGATACAAATATGATGCTGATATCTAAACTGAAAAGAGCCAAAACAGAGAAAGAAAATTATAGACCAATTTCCCTAATGAATATAGATGCAAAACTTTTAAATAAAATATTAGCAAAGAGAATACAGCAACTTATCATGAGGATAATACATTATGACCAGGTAGGATTTATACCAGGAATTCAGGGCTGGTTCAATATTAGGAAAACTATCAGCATGATTATCAACAACAAAATTAACAGAAAACATATGATTATCTCAAAAGATGTAGAAAAAGCTTTTGACAAAATACAACACCCATTCCTATTAAAAACATAAGACAGCATAGGAATGAATGGAGTCTTCCTTAAAATGATAAGTAGTACCTATCTAAAACCACCAGCAAACATTAATATGTAATAGGAATAAGCTAGAAGCATTTCCAATAAAATCAGGGGTGAAACAAGGATGTCCATTATCACCACTATTATTCAATCTTGTCCTAGATATGTTAGCTTTAGCAATAAGAGAAGAAAAAGAAATTGAAAGAATTAGAACAGGCAAAGAAGAAACAAAGCTATCACTCTTTTCAGATGATATGGTGGTATACTTAGAGAATCCTAGAGAATCAAGTAAAAAAATACTTGAAATAAAAATTTAGCAAAGTTGCAGGATATAAAATAAACCCGCATAAATCATCGGCATTTCTATATATTACTAACAAAGCCCAACAGCAAGAGGAAGAGAAAGTCCATTTAAAGTTACTGTAGATGATATAAAATATTTGGGAGTCTGCCTGCCAAGACAAACCCAGGAACTACATGAACACAATTACAAAACACTTTTCACATAAATAAAGTCAGATCTAAATAACTGGAAAAATATCAGGTGGTCATGGGTAGGCCAAACTACTATAATAAAGATGACAATTCTACCTAAATAAATTTACTTATTCAATGCCATACCAATCAAACTACTAAAAATTATTTTATAGAGCTAGAAAAAATAATAACAAAATTCATCTAGA